TGAACTTGACTCGAATAGATTATCATATATGTTAGATCACGAAACATTGTGTTGGCGAAATAATATCGGCCAATAGTATGTTAGGTTATGTTTTGACGATGCTCCTAAAACAAATGTGAATATTAAGAGTATGAAATAAAAATAAAATTAAAGTTTTTTAATATCAGAAGTTTATATTATTTTCATTGAATAAGTGTCATGAATATATACATTAGATTATTATATATTTTTCTAGAATAAAATATAAAATACCAACATGTATATAATTTCCTTTACCTTAGATTATTATAGTTTAGAAGTGTGATTATTCATAGATTATCTTTTGATAACTCATTATCTTGTTTTAATAATTTTATTTTTCAGGTTTAAGTTTTTAAATAAGATGAATACTAAAGGATCGAAAGTGTATTAAAGAAGAGATCAACAATAAGAAAGGTAAAACTTTTACTTGTTAAGTAATAATTTTCTTTAGTGACTCTTTTATGAATATTTGAATATTAAACTGTTAGTGATATTATGGTTCATAGGAAGATAAATATATTTTGTATTCAAGAGACTAATCAAGAAGATTGATAGCTTAGGTTTTAAACTGCGATATTAAGGTAAGAGCCACACTAAAAATGATGTATGTGTGTAATTATAGATAAGAGTTTGAAAGATAATGTTGTAAAAATTAATAGAATTGGAAATATAATTATATCTTTGAAGATTATTGTTAATATTAAAATTTTTAATATTATAAAGACTTATGCTCCTTAAGTAGGTTTATATATATGTTCAAAAGAATAATTTTGCAATGACTTAAGAATAATTAATACAAATGATACATTTTGAAGAAAGAATTTTTATTAAAAGAGATTTAAATGAGATGTTGGTAGAGTGGTAGAAGATTTTAAAAATATTCATGGTGGCTATGATTTTGGAGTGACCAGAACCATATTAGATTTTGCTTTAGCGTATGATTTTGTTATTGCTAATACTTTATTTTAAAAAAAAGAACATATTATTTATTTATAAGAATTGATCTAATAAAACACAAATTGATTATTTTCTTATAAGAAAAAGAGATCGAGAATATGAAAATTGTAAGGTTATTTCATATGAAAATTTAAGTACTCAATATCGATTTTTAGTTTTGGATTTTAAGATGAAGAGTTGTAAAATGAAGATTACATTGAAATATTATCATAAAATTAAACGAGTCACCTAAAAGACAAACAAAATTATTTTTATGAGTGAACTTCAAGAGTTCAAGATTTGAGATGTTCATGAAGCATCTATGTGGGATAAAGTAATAATTATTGTCAAACAAGTGACAAAAGATGTACTTGGAGAATAAAAAAAATTATAAATGAAAATAGTTGGTAGTGAAATAATATTGTGCAAGAAAAAATAAAATATAAGTTTTATTATAAAAATTGGTTTAAATGTAAAAGCTTAAAAAACAGAGAAAAATATAAAGTGGCCTGTAGGGAGTCTAAGAGAAAAGAAATATGTATAAATCAGCCAAACAAAGAGAAAAGAAAAGTAAAGATTTAATTCAAGTAAAATGTTTTAAGGATGAAAATCAAAAGGTGTTTTTCTTAGAGGAAGATATTCAACTTAGGTTGGTGAGCTATTTTGATAAACTTTTCAATGAAGTTTCTGAAAATACGATCGATCTTAATGATCTTAATATCATTAATAATAATATTTTTATCGTCGCATTAGTAAAAAAGAAGCCGAGGGGCTTTAAAGAAAACCAGTAGAATCTGATGATATCCTAATTGGAGTGTGGAAATATGTAGGACATTTGAGAGTACTTACTAAACTCTTTAATATTATTTTAAAAAGTAAAAAGATGCTTAAGAAGTGGAGGAAGAGTATTTTGGTGCCCATTTATAAGAATAAAGAGGATGCACAATAATGTGCATATTATAGAGGAATTAAATTTATGTGTCATACTTTAAAATTACGGGAGATGGTAATTGAATATAGGTTACGATGTGATACAAAGATTTCTCATAAACAATTTGAATTTATGCCGGGTAGGTTTGCTATGGAAGTTATACGTTTATTGCAAGGTTTGATGAAAAAATACATAGAGAATAAGGAGGATCTACATATGATTTTTGTTGATTTAGAAAAAGCTTATGATAAGGTTCCAAGAGAAGTCCTTTGGAGAGTGTTAGAAAAGAAAATTATTGATATGATTTATATTTAAGTCATTAAAGATATGTATACTAGAGTTGTTACTTGTGTTCAAACAGAAGGAGCATTTAAAAAGAATTTTCCCATTTCAGTTGGATTACATCAAAGATCAGTTTTAAGCCCATTTCTTTTTTCTTTAGTTATGGATGCTCTTATTGTATATTTACAGAAGGATGTACCTTGGTGCATGCTTTTCACTGATGATATCCTTCTTGTGGATAAGACTAAAGTTCAAGAAAAACTTGAATTATGGATGTCGACATTGTAGTCTCTACTCCTTCGTTTGAGTAGATCTAAAACTGAATACATGGAATGTAATTTTAGTAGTCGTAGTTCTAGTGACAAAGTTGTAACTATGGATGTGTGAACGCTTTAAATATCTCAAGTCTATTGTTCAAAGTGATGGTGATATAGATGGGGGTGTTATTAGCAGAATTCAAGTTGGTTGGTTGAAGTGGAGGAATACATCGGGCTTATTATGTGATAGAAAAGTACCGCTTAGACTGAAGATAAATTTTATGGGCTTAGATGATGGTGAAACCTGCAATACTCTTTGACGCTGAATGTTGTCCTTTAAAAGAGAAGCATAAAACAAAATTAAGTGTTGCTAAGATGAGAATGCTTAGGTAGATGAGTGGCTTGACCCTTAGAGACAAAATGCAAAATGAATATATTTGTGATGGGGTTGTTGTAGGTCTAGTGGCAAACAAGATTAGAGAGAGTTGTCTTGATGGTTTGGTCACATCAAACGTCGATTATTTGATGATCCGGTTAGGAGAATAGATGTTTTAGATTCGACTTATGTTAAGAAGCGCAGAGGTAGACCTAAAAAGACTTGGGCATATTGTATAAAAGATGATCTTAATCTATTAGAATTAAATGAAAATATGACACTCAATAGGACACAATGGAGAAAAAACGATTCATGTAGCGGGCCTCTTTTAGGCTGTTGTTGTTGTAGTGATAAAATTAGAATAATAGAAAACTAAATTTCACAGTCCGACCCTCAGTTTTATTCTTAGTTAACTTTAAGCCTCAGGCCTGGTTGTGACACAATAAATATGAATATGTTGCAAGAAAATAAAATTTATCTTTCAATTCTCAAATCATTTAATGCATTATGCTAGTCTCTTATTTACGAAATTACTTGTTTTATTTTCATTTTCTTTCTCATTCATCTTGATCGTACAATTTTAGAAATGTCATATGAGGTTTGTATAGGCTTTGGCACATTTATATCATCATTTATAACTTAGCCCATCAAGTATAATAATTACTAATTTGGCTCTTATTTAGTCTTAACATAGATTTGATTTGATGTTATGTATCATTAGTTGGAACCTTCTTTTGGCCCCTATTGAGATTTATTTTGTCAAAACTTTTTGCCTCTTTATGTGAAGGTTATTATCATTTAACTCTTACATAACATAATTTTTTATAGACTTATATTTTATTTTTAGCACCATTATTATAGTTATTTAAATATGTTTTGCATTTTATACGCATCCATTATTCAACTTATATCAACATATAAGGGAAGCATTAGGGGTGAAATGTCTCAAGTCGAGCTCGAGTCACGCCAAAGTCGAGCTCGAGTCACGCCAAAGTCGAGCTCAGTTTGTTTGTTAAAATATAAGCTCGAGTAGAGCTCAAATGATGAACTCTAGCTTGGCTCGTGATACTAACACTAGGCTCAAAGTGCTAACACCAAGCTCATGAGCTTGAATGAAATTTCCATGGTAGCTCAGTGAAGAAGCCATCTAAGTGATCGATAACAGGAGAGAAGGAGAAGTGTCGTTGCATCTCACTAGAGAAGACATCTTTGTTATTAAAATTTGGCTAGTTGAGACAGCTCATAAGCCAATGGGCTGAGGCTCGACGGCCTCGAGCTCAAGCTCGATTAATAAAAGAGCTTGAACTCGAGCTTGCAACTCAATAAGCTCAACTCGTGAGCTAGTTAATGAGTGAAGCTTGAGCTAACTTGGCTCACTTACACTCCTAGAAAGCATCAATATGTAATAATTAACATGACACATGCTTATTTGAATATGCATTATGTATCATAAGACTTTTGCCATATGAAATTAACATATGATCATTTCTAATTTGTAAACTAGTTCAATGCATTAGACTATCCCGATAACATAAAGTACTATTAAAATGCTTGATACAATGTTTATTCATATATTTATAACAATTTAATACAATAGTAGAAATTTTAATCATTAGATCTCTAGGCTATTTGTTCCTTATATTAGAAAATAAGTATCTCATCGCAATTATAGGATTTTCTATGTTGAAGATTTTTTATTTCTTTTCCCATAGTCTCTTTCTTTAGCAAACAACCTTATAATAACAATTTTTCTCAAACAATTCTCGCTTTTGTAACTTATAACTAAATGACTCATTCTCAAAATAATTTTTTTATTATGAAACTTTTCATATAAGGCTCTAAACTTATCTTCCTCAAATCCAACTTGATTTGCAAACTAAAACACATTAAATTGGATTTTACCGAATTTCCCCAAGTTTCCCTTCTCTTCTTCTTCTTCTTCTTCTACTTTTTTCCTTCAAATGTTAGTTACAAGAATGAGTGCGTAATGGAATTAAATGCTAAATGTTTAGTTTTTTATTTTATCAGTATATGCATATATTATGTAAGTTAATATATAAAGATTTAATCACAGCCATCCAATGTAATATTCGCCATTGCATGCTGCGTCGTCTGCATTCTTACCAGATAATTCCTTTTTTACATTGATCAGCATAATTTTCTATGCGTTGTTTTAATGCATGACGCTTTATTTCAGAAAACAGCCCTAGCATTGGATGAATCTATTCTGGATGGTGATCAAGTTGAAAATCTTCTCAAGTTTTGTCCAACCAAAGAGGAAATGGAGCTTCTTAAGGTGCATAAATTAGTACTTCCATATCATTTGATTGGTAATTTATAACTCCGTTTTTACAACTTCTGTACTTTAATCCAAATGTTTCAAGTGTTTTTTGGATTCTAGTACTACACTGGAGATAAGGAAAACCTGGGTAAATGTGAAAAGGTAAGTTCAATCATCAATAACATGCAAGGATTACATTTTTACGTAAACATTTTTGCATTGCTTTCTCATTCTGTTATACCTATATGTACTTAATTTCTTATTTTGTTGTGCCATCATTCTTTCAATTGTTTGCTCCATTATTTTCCATCTTTATTTTGAATTGGGCTTTTCATATCTTAATTCCATAAAATTTTGTGGTTGTTCGTGTATAACTTTGGATGTTTTCATGTTCACTAATCACTGGAAATTGTTAGTAAGATATTGGCATGATCACAGTAATTCGCTGCTTTTGAGATCATGAAATAAACTTAGTCTGCTTGAATCTGGCATGCATATAGGGAAGATTTGTGTTTCAGAAAAATGGATCATGCACTATTCCTGTGCCGAGCCTCTTTTAGATTGCTACCTCCCTTTGATTCTCCTTATTTCTCCAAGCCAGTAATCGATAGAACCGTCGTCTTCCTAGGCTAACTTCTCCAACACCTCACACCTAAAATAGATTGAACTTGCAAGAGATATTGCTAGAAAGAAAAGAGTTTAATCAACATAGGGTTTTGATCGCCCCATTGGAATTCACTGACCTACAAAGTGGACCAGCCTATCGGTTCTCCATTCTCATGGGGCCTCGACCTCCATATCTGTTTTCCCTCTATGATATTCTCGGGTCATTCAATCTCTCTCACTCCCAGGGTTGAGCTGTCGACTGGAGGAAGAGGGGCAAGTCCAGACTCGTCAACAGTACTAAGCCCGACAGGAGCAATAAGGACAGAGGCCCACTCTACCTTTAGTCTGTCCAAGAAAGAAGAAATACAGACTCTCACATTATTCTCTTGCCAGAGAAAGCGAGAAAGGGATCAACTAGCGCCTTAATGAAGAGAGTTTTATGCTAGACAACTCTTAGAGGGATTTGGCATGAAGGATGCCAAACAGTCCACTGACCCTGCTGGTGGCAAATTGACATAGAATTCAGGCACGCATGAGATTGAAGGCTTGAGATGAAATCATCCAGATTTTGAAATTATTTTCATTGTTAAGGATGGAAATCAAATGGTGGCTTATTTGCAAGAAATTAACTTTGAATACAAGAGAGTTTACATTTTCCTTTAGCTAGTATTAAGAATCTTAGTAATGATGGGCTAGTAGATGCTATTCCAGTAACACTACTTCAATTTATAGTTATTTCTTAAGTGGCGTTTACATACATACTACTCAATCCTTATGAATTTACATATCTAATACATAATTTCTGTTTTTTCACATTTATACCACCCAAATCTTTCTTATCACATCAAAAATACCACCATTTTGACTTTTAAAAGGCAAAATACACATTTTCATGCATATGTAAGGTGGTATGTATGTAAAAATGAAGTTTAGGTATTTGAAATATAAATACACAGGAATGGAGTGATATACATGTAAATTTTCTTTTTGCTTATTGTATCTATATCCCAGAGAAATAAACCATGTACACAAGCTAATGCAGTTTTTGAGTTGTATCCATGCTTGTTTAAAGCTCAAGTTCATCGAGACTGTCTATGAATTAGGATTTTTGAATTTTTCTTGCACATGTTGGCTAAAAAAAAAATATAGGGGAAGAGAAATAAAAAAGAGAGTTATATTAATTACAATTAAATTAATTAACTTAAATGTTTATCAAATCCCGCCTTCCCACCTTCCCGCCTTCTTGCGTTCCCACCTTTCCGCCTGTTGGAGCGCGCTCAACTGAGGTAATTGTTCCCTCGTTCGCTTTCAGTTACAACAGACGAACAAATCAAAGAACAACTCATCATTCCACGTATTCCCTCTATCATTCATCTTGTATTCCTTGCTGCTCCGCCACTGTTCAACTCTCCGGTATTCCTCTTCGGATCTCAAGAAGGAAAAAAAAAGTAACTATTCCTTCATTTAATTCGCGTGCCTCGCTCTCCTGTTCCCTATTCACTTCCAAGAATTGCAACTGTAAGCCACTTACCTGTATTTCATTGTCATCCTTCTTCCCTGCCTAGCCTTGCACCCAAATGCCTTTGTTGAACATTTACACCTCCCTGTTCGGTTGAATCGCAACCATACAAAGATCTTTGAGATTTCCTCCGCCTTCCCACTGTATTCAGGACCTGTTCCTTGTCCCTCACCAAAGTTGAACAACCCTGTGTTTCTCTTATGTCTACCTTCCTCTGTTCATGCGAAACCGAACGCTGGAAGCCATCGCCAACACTACACCTCCTTGTCGCGACCTTTCTCTGCTTCATCGAAACAACTCACAATTGCCGCTCCTCCCAAACCACTCAGATGGCTCTATCCTTCGCCAATCTTGCATGAATTCAACTCAACTGAGCCGCCCCTCCTTTTCTTAACTTTACATACGTCACTTATCCTCTTTGTTGCACAAGAAAGCAGTTCAATCTACTATTCACAATTGGAATATTCGCCGAAATGCTCTTCCTTGCCACATGAGCCCTATAGTGTCTCTACCCATGCCCCCACTCGAGCTTTTCTCCATATCCTTGCTCCCTAATTTAGAGTTTGTTTGGGGCAACTTCAACTTAATAATAAGCTACTACGCAGTACCTGTCACAAGAAGCTTCTGCGTGGAAGCTGTCGTAGATAAGCTTGATATATGTTTGTTTTTTGAGTTTGAAAGCAATTGTGCTGCAGCTGTTTCTGAACAAATGACCATTCTACCCATGTATAGTAATGTTGTTTGCAACAGAACTATTATACCAATATATTTTATACTTTAGAAACAAAAAGACAGTGCAGAGCATTAAAAAAACTTACACACTTCACTTAATAGTGAGTATCATGATTACTAAAATTAAGAATCGTCTATTAAAATAAGATTTAATAATATGATAATATTATTTTTAAAATCTAAATTATGTATGTCACAAACTAAGCAGTCCTCTAGGAATACTCTCAATGTATGATCACTCTCGACAATAGAACCTTATAGCCTATCTGCCCATAAAAAAAAGTCACAGTTCTCTATGATTCTCCGTGAGCACCCGTAAAACTCTCTCATAGCTATGTGGCTGACGTGAAGTTAATAAAGAACTTTGAAGTTCTTAGTTGCCTTCAAAACACAAATGTGTCGCATATGTATATCACAAAAAAATAAGCCTCTAAAAGAGCCTCAGAAAACCATGACACTGAAAAAATGAGAGGATCGTTGGTTGGTTTCATTGAGATTTCAAATGTGACAAGAACCAGTAGGGACAAATCGGTCATCTAGAAGAACTTTTATGGTCGAATGTCTCATCACTGACTTCGAAAAAAATAAAAATAAAAATGCAATAAATATTTATATATCATATTATATCCACGGTTGCCTATTCGACCATCCAAGTGGAGAATAATACATGAAAAAGAGTGAGAAATAAAAATGAGATTCAAAATTTAAATGATTTGACAGAACATCGATGCAACAAACAATAATAGTTTTCACCATCCATTGTAAATAAAGTAGCAATAAGAAAAAATACAATCAGTCCATTCGACATCCAACAATAACGCTGTAATCCGCTCTCTCAATTCAATCATTTCCCCAACACTTTGAACATCCTGGGTGCAACTCTCATGTGATTCTACTTTTTCCTGTGGTATAAATTGTTCTATGTGATATTCAAATGCTTCAGGTGGAACATGTAAATAATTATCTTCAACCATGTTGAAGTCAATATCATTGCGCAAATGATGCTGCCAAATATAGTTGTGGAGAGACATTGTGGCCACTACAATATGCACTTTCTTCGGAAATGGATGTTGGCATATCATGCAGTATAACTCATTTTTTCTTCCATACTCCAAATGTTTTTTCAATTACACCACGTAAGGACGAGCGGCTGTTATTAAACATTTCTTTTGTGCCCCGAGCAACATTATTGGATCTTTGAAAGTCGAGAATGTGATATTTGGTATCCCGAAATGACTTCAGATATCTCATTTATAAATGATATTCAACATCGACCAAAGAATATTTTTCTATCGCAAATGCAATAATTAGTAATGAACATAAGAAATATCTAAATATAATTAATAATTGAACAAACCTGGAGGTGGGTGACGGAAGTTGCGCTTTCGATTTCTTGTGGCAAAAGAGAATATACGAATGTCACGTGCACTGTCTTCCCAACCAACCATAACAAAAGTGAAATTCATATTGAAATTACATACAGGCATCACATTGTGTTGGTAATCCACACAACCCAATGAATGCGACTTCTTCATTATTAGATACACATGTATCCATGTGTTCTATCAATTGCTCCAATACAATTTTAACAAATTAGACAATATTGTGTAAATTACACTACTCATTTTTACTTCTTAATATAATGAATAAAAAGATTTGCCTTAAAAAATGACATATATCACGGGTCATTTGCAATCTTTATTGGAGTCATCTCAAATGTTAAATCCTTTGGCTTGATAATCTTTGATGACAAACTAACAAGTGCATTCAACTTCACTGAAAAGTATCTGTTGATTGTCTCCGATGAATGTTTAAATCGCTTCGTCGCTTCTCATTGATTCATTCTGTGATAAAATATAGAGGATTGTTGCTAACAACTCTCTGGTTGTCATCCTAGAGGAGCCATGAAGTCCACGATTCTTATGTAATTCTTCTAAAAGATCTATGAATTTGGGCTATGGCATACGAAACTTGTTGAATCTTGTAAGGTGTCTTTCAAGTAGTTGCCCAACCCATTTATCACCATGTAAGATGATGTCATGCAGGGAGACCGAGCAACGTATGAGTTGCAATACTCGTAAATCAAACATACTGCTACCACAATTCTCCCTTTGTGCCTCTTTGTGAATTCATGTTAAACAATTTCTCTATTCAGGCAAGTCATGTGAAGCAAACAACTTAAATAAACTTCGAATAACGAATTACAAAGTGTACGATGAAAATGTAAATATCCAAAATAACTGTAAAATTATTCCAAGAAAAAAGAAAAAACATTCAAATCAAAAATCCGATAAACCTACTGGAA